AGCTGTGAAAGAGGTCCTGCCTTTAAGAAAGCTACCATCTATGAATAAATTGGATATACTTATTTGGAACTCTTGACAGCTAAAACTTGCTGTTGTGAGATTATAAAAGCAGAAACCCAGCCTGTCTCATGATTGCCTCTCTTCCTACACAGAAGGAAATACTAGATTTATGTTCCAAGAAAGGGCTTGCAATATAGCATCACGAGCGTGTCTTGCTGCAGGGGGCTCAGCACACCCAGCTTGAGCACCCAGCTCTCTCCCTGCCCCACAAGGACAGTTTTCCAGCTGGAGAGAAGCTATGCTCACAATTCCCTTTTCAGAGAACTTGTCTACTTGGGCTGTTGGCCTCTCCCTTTCTCCTTTGAAGTGTTTTGACACTTCAGAGCCAGGCAGGGCGAAGCCCTTGTTGTTCTGCCAGCCGGCTGCAGGCAGCATGGCCCAGAGAGATGGGCTGTGATCAGCTGCCATCCTCCTTGTGTGGGAGTGCAACAGTGATGGGACAGAGTGCAGTACACCTCAGGACCTCGCACAGAGCAATGCAGCTTTCCAGAAGTGCATCTGTACCATCAGGCCGCTGACTTCTGTAATCCCAGGTGGAGAGAAGCACCCACAGCAGGAACACAGCTTTGCCATCAGGTAAGAGTGAAGAAGGCATCTCTCCTGAACACGCTTCTGCAGAGGGGCCAGGTATATGAGCAACCACTCTGCCCCTGAACACACACACATATAGAGATGAGCAGGCATTACAGCAAGGCTCTTCTCTGCAGACACCTCCAGCATTCATCCAGAACCCTGCGGTAAAATCAATTAGAGAAAAAGAAAGCTGCAGCTAAATCCATGGCAAACAACATTGTTTGATTTGTTTTCAGGAGTCCCTGTAGCCCATGACACATGACACAGGATCAGATAAAAAGCTGCAAGGTCCCACTGGGAATGTCACATTGCAGCAGATGCTGTCCGGAGTGGAGGGGACGCTGCTCATCACTGCACAGCACAGCTTCCATGCAGCCAGATGCCAGCCCAGGAAAGCCACCATCAGTTAAGTCTTCTAATTAATATATTTTACCTAATTGGGTGCCCAACTGCTAAATTATACCAGTCAGGTTAATTTAATGTTAAATCTGTCCCAGTTAAGGGGAAAAAAAAAAGAAAAAGAACAGAGAAAAAGGAGCAAAGTTACAGAAGCTTATATTGCGAAACACTTACAAGCCTGTTAATTTGAGTAATTGTTTTCACCTCCCACCCTCCACCACCCACATCTTAACATTAAATGCCAAACTTAAGACTCAGCAGTCAGCCCCCTTATCAAGGGGGAACATCTGGATTAATGCTTCATCTTTGGACTACTCCTACTTTGCACTGTAAAGCAATCCAACACAAGATCTGGGCTGAATTTAATATTTGAGCATTTCAGTAGTCCCAATGAGCTGCTGGAAGCTGACCCTGGACACCAGCTGGGCGCTTCCAGGAGGGCTCTGCCTAAAGTGAAGAGAGCCTTGGCTGGAAGCAGGCAGAGAGCAAACACAATGAGCAGACAAGCGGTGCCGGCTGGAGCCTGCTGCAGCAGGGTTGCAGCAGAGGGCCTGGGATCCAGGAAGAACTGTCAGTACAGCCCACGGACTAGACATCTTAATGGAAAAGATCTTTGTGCCTCATTAAAAACTGCTGTGAACTCTGCTGGAAGTTAGATCAGAGCTGGTGTAACATCCCCGCTGCAAGCAGCACAGGTCAACTGCATGGAAAAGCACGCTGGGATGGGAGAGGAAAGCAAACCCATCCCCTCACTGCATGGACACCCTGATAAGGGGACAATTTATGCTGTTGGTGAAACAATTAATGTTTGTTTTGGAAATACCTTTTCTTCGTTATTTCCTGGCTCCCAAGGCTGTCACCCGCGTGCCGAGGTTCTCAAACGACTCACGGATTCCACAAATGGATGAAATTTCGGTTTGCAGGATAATTTTGCTGCCATTGAATGTGAAATTTGGAGATGCGGCCTGTTCAATGAAACTCGCCGAAATTGGAAGGGTGTCCAGTTATTCACTTCACCTTTGAGTCTGCGGTTCTCCCAGTCTCCAATTTAGGAAAGAGAAATGAATTACAGCTCTTCTGTTCTTTTAGCAGTGCTAAGAAATGCTTTCCCTTCGTGTGCTTTCAGAGGACCACAGAAAAGATGGGGTTTTGGTGGAGTCGTTCAGGTCAGCTGGAGGAGCCGCACGTGCTGTCCTGCACCTTCAAATCAAACACTCCTCCACGAAAAGAATTGCCTGGAGACAACTCTAATTTGTTCTAAACTATTATCTCTTCCATCGGCAAGCAGGGAATTGTTATCTATTTATTTCTTACAATGTCATTGAATCAGTGACCACCTGCAAGGTGTCCACGATGATAAACGCTTGCTTTGTGTACGGAGCTATTTCTGACAATGCTTGATAGTGCACATCTATCAAATTGCCTGGAAGAGCCACCTATTAGGATCATTATCTAACACAGTCCCATTGAACAGGGAGTTCAATGTCAGCACATCCCAGGGAAGGTACCTCGCTGGTACCCATTCTGCTCGTTATTTCCCTAGATTAATAGTTTCACATTTTCATTATGAATTTGGGCTCAACTTTGGAGTTCTCATGCCCAGAGCTGCAGTGCAAGCAGAGGCTCATGGGCAGACTCTCACACAAAGCTTGCTGCTGCACCCACTTGGTGCACACAGGAACTCATGGCTGGAGGACTGCCTGAGCTCAGCCAGCCAGGGAAAACAAATGTTATTTCCCCTGCAGGACTGCAGTAATTCACTACTTCAGCCTGGTGAAACAGGCACACCCTGCTACTTGCTTGCTCCCCGCAGGGTCTGTGCTGCTGGAAGTACCACAAACTCATCTTTCTTCAGCTTGCTTTGTCACTGAGGGGACTTACTTTTGAAAGAATTCTGGTTCATGCCAATGGCCTCGATCTAAAGAACATCAGCATTCAGCAGTCTTTTAGCAAACCATGGCCATTACTCCCCAAACCACTCTTCCTACAAGAAAGTCACAGCTGGAAAATAGCTCAGGAAGCAATTAAGCCTCCTTACTGTTCAGATCAAACCCTACGCTGATCCAAAGGAGTACTACCACTCTTATTAGGAAAAACATTAATGCATGGATTTACTTAGTAACTCTACCGTATCTCGGTGTTAAATAGGAGAATGAAATGGCTAACAAGCATATAAATTCTTGGCTGTAAGGATTATAATTGGAACTTTTAAATGACAACAGTATTAACAGAAGAATTCTCTTGGCAAGCTAAGCTCTTTAGATCCAACCCCAGTAGATGTTTAAAGCAGAATCCAGTGCTGCATATTTGTACCCAAGCGCTTCATGGCTTTATTTACAGTTGTTTGGGTTTTCTGTAAACGATTGCTCGCAGAATTCAGCAAACATAGCAAACCAGGAGTCCTAGCAGATCAGTAGTTCACAATATTGCCACCTGCAGTTAAGACCTGGAAGCTGCCACGACCTGAACAGCCCTGGCGCTCTACAGAGAGCTCTGCTTTTCCAGGCTGTTACAAAGTAAAGCTGCGGTGGTTGCAGGAAAAGCAAATGAAAGACTTCTCTCTCCTGCCTCGCTTCAGAAAAAAATAGACGAGTGTTCCTGTTTGAGTTTTGATATAAATCCGACTGCCTAGGAAAGGGCTAAAGGTGAGTTTTCCTGAATTTGGAATGAAAAAATATGTCTCAATTTCCAATAAGCATTTAGAAAGTTAAAAAAATATATATTAATGACGGAGGAATTTTTATTCTGTTTAAACAGCATTTGCTGGATTTGTTTCTTTGTCAAGGAGCTGTAGTGAATCAATTTTATTTTAATGAGCAGAAAGGGGGAAACAAAGGTTTGTCATGTCCAAGTTTTCTTCCAATTTCAGGAGAACAGCTTCTAAAAATTTTGAAAAGTGTATAAGGAAAGTTCTCTGTCATTCCAGACATCACTGAATAATCTCCAAGTTACCGGAGCCAATTCAGCCAGAGGGCTCCCTGACAGGCTATCAAATCACCTGAGATCTTCAGTTCTTTAAACCCAATAAAATGCATGCGTTCACTTTAAAACCTCAAAAGCATAAAGACTGCAATTCACGGCAGCACCATGAACTCCAAGCAGCTTTCCATTTGAATCCCAGGCACCAATAACTTGTTTTTAGCTATGTCAGGTTCTGCACTGAGAGTCATCACTTCTTAAAGTCTCTCAGCAGAGGAATTGGTACAACAGATCTGATCTGTTGCTTTCTTTTCCTAGACAGAAGCAAACTCCAGGCACCTGTGTCCTCTGCTAGTGCCTTCTGCAAGATATCAGAATGGCCTTTCTACCCAGCTTGCTAGTCTGCAAGCCCAATTGGTCTCTGCCTTTGAGTAAATAATGTAGCTGCCTTTTAATTATTATCCAGGGGAAAAAATATACGTATATTCTAATGAAAGGAAGATAAATGGAGACCACGATGGATGGACCAATGGATGAACAACGGTCTGACAGACGCTGAGCACGGCTTCATTCATTTCCAGTGCCCTCAAAGCTCTGCTATGAAAGTGTAAGGTGAACGATTTTATTGCAATTGCTTGATGCACTTTTAGTCAAAATCTTTTATTTCAGGTTCAGAGAAAGAACAGTCTGCCTTCTGATGGCTGATATGTAAAGCCAGCAGCAGGTGCTCCTCTACGTAAGAAATTAACACAGTTTAACAGAACGCAAACAACTTTGAGTGCGACAACAGAGAGCTCTCCCTGAGCACAGAGATGATCGTTTCTAGCTGAAGCGGTAAAGATGCTTTTGCTCCATCTGCATAAAAGAAAGCAAACAAGCAAAAGCCCAGCAGCTCAGAGGAATCGCCTCAACGCTGCCTCGCTGCCCGCCCGCTGTCCAATCAGAACTCAGCGAGACTCAGCGCAGCCAATCCCAACCGAGAGCGGTGCGGCCAATCGGAGCTTGGCGCGTTTATGATGACGCATCAGGCAGCGACTGCTTCCGGGTCGGCGGTCGGCATGGCGGCGATGGCTGCGATGGTGGCGGCGCTGCGGGAGTGGTCGGCGGCAGCGGAGCGGCGGGACGCGGCGTGGCGGGCAGCTGTGGCCGCCTGTGCGCCGCTGTTGGCGTCGCTGGCCGGGCTGGCGGCGCAGATGCGGGCGGCGCAGCGGTTAGCGTGGGGCGGAACGCCGCTGGGCGCCTTCAGCGAGCTGAGGGAGAGGCTGTGGCGGAAACAGCGCGGAGCGGTCGAGGCGCTGCTGGAGGAGCTCAGCGAGCGGCGGTGAGGGGGAGGCGGCGGGGCCGGGCCGGGTGCGGTGTGCGGGGCGCCGCTGAGCTCTGAGCCGTGCAGGGAGGAGCTGCGCGCCGTGAGGGACGCGGTGGGGGCCGGCGCTGCTGCTGTGCTGCGGCTGTACGAGGAGCGGGCGGCGGAGCTGAGCTTAACCGAGGTGCTGCGGCGCGGGCCGCGCTGCCCGTCTTTGGCCGACACTCTGGAGGAACTACAGGATGTGGAGCGTTACTACCGGCACCTGTATCCTTTTGTAGCAATGCTGGGCTGCTGGGTGTCTCTTTCTCTGTGTTGTCCTTAAGCTGTCTGGAGATATCTGGAGATCAGACTGTTCCTCCTGCTCATCAGCTGTGACAGCCTGGCAGACATGGAAGCCCTCCCACAGGCCTGGGAGAGGATTTTGGAGCGTTATGGGGAAGACACTGTGCAAGGTAGTTCTTCACATGTTGGATCTAAAGGATGTTTCTTTGAGCCCTATGCTGGTATCTCTTCCCTGAAGGTACAAGGCCAGCATATTGCCTACATCCTGTGTTGCTTGTACTGCTTCTCTCAGTAGCAGTGGCTGAGCATACTCTCTGTCCTTGCTCTTTGCAATCAACCAGCTCACAGGTCTTGTACACAATTTGGTGGTAAATGCCAGCATTCCAGGATCTTCTGGGAGCAGTTTTCTTTCTTGCTATTTTATAAGGGACTTGGTAATCTATTTCATTTGGTCTACAAACTTACTTTATATAAGCATATATATATATATATATATATATATATATGACTTTAGAAATAATTTTCTGCTGATACAGAATACAGGTAAAATGTATTATTTAATAGCTGTGTTTTGTTTTTTTTTTTCTTTCCCAACTCAGATTCTTTTCTTAAGATCTCTCTCTTTTTGGACAACCAGTGACAGCTGCGCTGCTGGTAAGGCTTCAGATGGAGAGCATGCAGGACTGATGTTGACCAGCTTGTGTGATCATGTGGTATATCCTGAGATAACCACTAAGAGGAAGATTATTTGAGGCAGTGTTTAGAAGGTGGATGAGGTGACCTCTGTAGGAAGTGCTTGGAGTGTTCCATTTTCAAGCTGAGGTGGATTGTGTTTGAGGAAGAGCTTGAGCTCAACAGGTCATGACAATAGAAAGAAATTGTCTTCAGCTACGGGAGTTGTCTTCCCTTTTTCCCCCACCCACTGATGTTTTGTATGCTGAAAAAAAGTTTTGTGACCAACTTGTAAACAAGCGGTGAAATGCACTGCAAATAAAGGTAACGTGAGACCCAGCAGCTTGATGGGAAAGTGTTCTAGATAACATCCTCTAAATAAAAGATGTCGTATCAGGAACTATAAGTAGTTTGTACGTTGTCCTTCTGAGCAATATATTTGCTTTCATCCCTCCTGGAACAAGACCAAATTTGGCTTGTGTCTGTGGTTAGGAAGGTAACCATAACCAACATGAACACTTGAGTTCTGATGTGGGCAGTTTGAAGTGTGTTGTATCTTTCTGAGGAAGACATGTTTATATAAGTAAAAATCACTTGCTGAAAAGAAATATTTCTGCAAGGATGCGTTTAATACTCAATTTTAAAACTTCCTGCTCTATGCCAGCAGCTGCTGTCTGTTTTAGGTTCACCTTTTGTTGGCAGTGAAAATGATGCTCTGTAACGTTCCGAGAAAGTGATGGGATTCGTGTCTCTAGCATAAGCTACAGCTTTAGTTTGCTGTCTCTGTCTTTCTCTCCCCCTTTTCTGGGGGGAGGATAAGGGCACAAAGTAAGTTGCAAGCCCGAGGAATCCATTCGACCACCTGAGGGCACTGCTCGACCTGCAGAGGGCTCTGCGCGGCGGCCTTTGAAGACTGCCGATTGCGCAGGGCTGCTGCTGCCGGTGCTTCCCCTTCAGCTGACAGCTCTTTGGAGAGGAATGGTACTTAATATGCAGTTTTAATTGCAAAGAAAAATCACGTCACCCACTTGGCTTTGGTATGGCTTCAGGGTGTCATGACTGATGAAATCAGCGTTTGTCAAACTAAGGGTGTTAAGCACATGGAACGCCAGGCAGTTTCTGCTCTGAGCACATACAGGGCAGGTGTTCCAGGCATCTGCTGGCTGTGGGGGCTGGGAGGCAATTCCTCTTTGTGTCTGCAAGCCCAACATTGCTTCAGGGCCCTGGAATGCTTGCTGGTGCTGATCCTGTCCTCCAGCCTGCCCTGAAAGGGGCTCTTGTGGCTTCTGCTCTGTGCATCCCCTATAGATCTTGTGCAAGAGTGCAGTTTAACTGCCGAGTCAAATTTCTGCTGCTGGGGAGCTTTTCACTTGGCCCTCTCATTCCCAGGAAAGTGAGAAATGGGCTCTTCCTCCAACTGTTTCAGCTTAAGATAAAGCAGATGATGCAGTGAAGATACTGGTTTGGCAGATTAGCCAAGAATGAAGTTTATTTAGCTAATGGCTGTGTAGCAGTCTCAATGCAGATGCTTCTGCGTGCAAAGTATTTCCCATCCTCGAGCAGCTCTGTTTCACCATGGCCTGTCGCTGACTCCTTTTGTCAGAGTGCTTCTGGTGCAGTTGGTTGCATCACAGTATTGGTTCAGAATAAGGCATCTATTTTCCTGTGCACAGCACAGTGCAGAAGTTCATCAGATTTCCAAAACTTTGCTCCCAGCTCACAGACTCCTCTCTCAGCTCCAGATATTCACCTTCTACCTTTGGGTTATTGAAATTCAAACATCCCCAGTATTTAGGATCTGGCCAGTGAAATACCCTAGGTGAACTTTATTAGCCATCACCTGCTCTGAGTGTTCAGCCCATGCACTTTCCCTAGAGGCATAACTGAGTTCTGATTTGAAGGAAAGGATGAGTGTCTGCTGGGGATGACAGGCTGAAGTAGATTTATTTCCTAGCTCTTTTGTGACAGCTGACTGCTGGTGTCTGGAGAGACAGTTGCTCTAAATCCATCTGACAAACACGGTTTTATGCTGGGATACAGCAAAGAACAAAGATAATAGCAAGCTCTCTTATCCATCTACCTGTCTCTTTTCTGATAGCTAAGAGCCTGTGGCAGAAGTGAAGATGTATTGCTTGTGTTCGGAGCGTGCTGCCAAGCCGTTTGCTTTGCAAATTTACAGTAAGCATTTTGATGGGAGGGAAGAGACTTCAGTTTTCATGTCTGTTGACATTCCTTCAGTGTGAGCTGCTGCATTTTTCTGCTTGCTTCTGCTTACTGCCTGACTCTGCATGCAGCTGGCTGGTGCGTGCTGTAATTGTCACCACTCTTGATAGTCTGTCTTTGGTTTGCTGTCTGAGGGTGCTCTGAGCTTATGGCTGCTTCCCACGAACATCTTGAGTCTCTCAGTGACACAAGAATGGGCCAAAATGAGCTGACCTCTCAACAAATGTGTGCCTGAGTTTTTGTTACTGTCACTTCTAAGCACAGTGACGTACTCTGAGCTCAGTCCCTTTGCCACAGCTTGAGCTCAATCCTGAGCTGTTATACTTCAGTGTAGAGAGGATACAAGAACCCTCTCTGCTATAAAATGTCAGTATAAAGCCAGAGGTGAGGGCAGACAACCTGATAAGGGACAGCTGTATGATCGTATGCTCATCACATACGGCACAAAGCAAGTAAAGACAGATGACTGTAAGGTGTTTCTTGGGGTACCATCTTCCCTTGGGCCTTGAGGTTTCATCTTATCATTAGAAAATAATCAATCATGTTGTTTGTGGATGCAAAATTACCTTTACTTGTGCACACAAAAGGCTGTACAGCCTGTTAATGCTCCTCTGGCAGCCCATCTTTGAGCTGCATAAGGAAGAAATGGATTTAAAGTTTGGAAGGCCCTCAGAACAGTTCAGTGGTGGCCTTTCTGCTTCTCCTGGAAGCCTTGCTCTCTATTATCTGTCTTTTGGGTTCATGACAGTGCTGTGGGAGTGCTGAGAGGGGAAGCCATGATCCAACTCCCAACTCTTACTGAAGTGGGGTGAAGGAAGTGCTTGTTGAAGTTCTGGTGCAATTAATTACCAAGAATGGTTTATGGCTGATAGGCCATGTCATCAGTTGTATTTGTCTGCAGCCTTCTGGAAGGGCACAAATGAACCTCTGCATCAGAGGGCTCTAATTGGATACAACTGTGGGTTTTGTTCAGTTTCAAGGTCTGTATGTTGCAGCTCAGGAAGGCTGCCAAGATCCCCAGTTGTTAACAATGTCATTCCTTGTAGATGGGAGATTCCCTTCAGCCTGTGTTTGCTGGAGAATCTGCAGGTTCAAAGCATCCCACCATGAAGACAGTCAGGGTGGGCATTTAGCCTCCACAGGCTGAACTTCAGAGCACTCAGGTGAGAAGGCTGTTCCTCCTCTTTCCATCCCTGGCACTCTGCACTGCTGAGCCAGATACCTGCAGCCAAGCAGAACGGATGCTGTTGTTTCAGTGCTGCCCCAGCATGAAGCTCCAGGAAGCAAGGACGCCAGGTAGGTGTGTGTGTGGACAGAGACTCCAGCCCAGTGAGGTCAGAAGGTAACAGCAGCACCATAGGCATTGCTTGCCCTAAGACTAACTGATATAACACACCTAGCCATAAAAATAACTCTGAGTGCCTTTATTTTTGGAACAGAGCTCTTAAAGAGTTCTTGCATGAAGACCTGTCTCTTAGGAATGCAATAAAACGAAGTTAGCAGCTGGAGCTACCTTGTTAAAGTGAAGTTTTCAGGAAACACAGAGCTCATGCTTTGATTTTTCAGCTTTACCTCCTACTAACTTAATTTGAAAATAGTTATTCTTCACTTATGGGGAAGGCACAAAATAAGATCAGTTACTAAATTTAAATACCCACAAACATTTACAGGGAGCATCTGACTTCTCTCTGGTCGGTTTGTTTTTTTCATTAGGGTGAAAGTTAGCTTCTCTACAAAGTTCTGCTTTGGAAATGAGGCTGTCTATGGGTAGTTTTATTTTAGACACATTTATATCACCCCGTTCTCTCACTCTATAGTAGAGTATAGGTGTGCTTTCTGACCTTCCTGCCATCGTATTGAAAACATGCGTGTTCTTATGCATTGTGTCCCTCACAACTCTCCAAGCAGTGGTAGCATCTCATGCACGTGGATAAATACCACTGTCCCAACATCTTTGTCCTGTGTCCATCCATGGATTTGGAGTGTCAGATTCAGGACTGCAGCCTTCCACAGGAAACAACAAAAGCTTTCCTTCAGCGTAAGTTCATGGGTTATCAGGCAGATTTCAGAATCAAATTTCCATAACAAGGGGGGGGAAAAAAAAAAGGTAAAGAATTTGGCACCGGATTTTAAGTCTGATTTTAGTTGGATGCAGAAATATGTGACAAAAAGCCTTGTGAGTCATTTAATAAACCGAGCATGAGTTTCACAAGCCCCTGCGGTTTCCATGCTAATTCTTTGAGACTTTCATCTTGGCCTGGAGCAGCACTCCTTTGTGATTTTGCAGGGCCCCAGAGCCTGCTCGAGTGCTTATCCACTCAGAAATAAAACAAACATTCTCCCATCTACATTAATTGAATGTGCAGCTCTCATTCCTAGCACTCGGCTGTCTACGCTTTAATGTTTCCCGAGTGCTCTTGACTTTATCACAGCATTTGCCCTGTTGAGCTGCTGGTGAGCTCCAAGGGGAACAAAATCTGCTAATCCTATAGACGTGAGTTGAAAGGGAACGCATCTGGCTACAAAGCAAGGAAGTGCTTTCCTGTGGTGAGGAAGTGCTCAGCTCAGGGCCCATTGTCTGGCCTTGCAAAGATGGGCACAAAAATCTCTTTGGTCGGTTCTTTGCCTCTGTGCTCCATCCCCTGATGCTGCACCCTGCCCTCTGCTTAGCAGACCCTCTGCAGCAGTCAGACTGCTCTCATCTCTCCCACCTTATCTGCCATTCCTGTGTAGGTTTTATTTCAATCCTCCCTTCCTGCTTTTCCCCTCAACCCTTTCTCTCCTCCTCCCTTTTTCTGTGGAAACAAATGTACAGTAGGTGTCTCCTGAACTTGCCTGAACTCCTTGTCCCAAGCACCTTCCTGACTAATCCTTTCCAGATGTCCAGGAACTTTTATGTTTAGCAGTTCTGCTCGAGTTCCTCATTCATTCTCAGATGGAGCAAACATTATATTTCCTGAAATTATTTGGAAAATAAGGCTGATCTTAGCCTTCTGTGAAACAACCTCAAAATATGGCATTATGAGCACTGCTGCAGCGCCCTGCACCCAAACTGGAGCACGGTGAGCATTCATAAATAGTGCTGAGGGCTTCATTTTCCGCATACAACTCTGCTCCATGGCTTTCTATGAAGTTCTGAAAGCACTCAGTACTGCACTTACACCCAACCGAGGGGCAGGACTGTCAGCTTGCAACCTCACAGTAGCAGCAGCATTAGGAGGTCTGTTAGATATCGTTGGACAGCAGCAAGACAACAGTGGAAACCGTGTTTCCTGGCTTATCCTCTCATCTTATTTCCCAAATAAGTTTGGTTTTGGGGGGTGGCTGTTCCTTTAGGCTGGGATAGGCCTGATGTCTCCCCTTTGCTCGCATCTCCTACTTTCAAGCAGCATGCAGCTTCACTGCCTGCACTGTTCAGCGTGAGCCAAGGCCAAACTGTTGTCCCAGGGCACGATGAGGTCTGTGAGGCTGGAAGTAATGAATGGGTCGGTTTACAATCCTGGGGAGCAGCTCTTCAGCACAGCCCCTGGCTTGCCTTGGAGACGCATCCTGCACTTCCCTGTGGTCATTCCTTGGTTCTCCTCCTTTTCCCAATCTGCTTTTCATCTGTTCTTCATGCTTGCTGTTCAGCAAGGGCTGCCTTTTGTTTGGGATATTAGAAGCCTTTGGGCTCTTTGGTGGCCTTGGGAAAGTGCCTTTTCCTTCCATTTGTCCGTATTTTGGGGTTCACCTCAGCATGTTATGAATTGACTGCAGAATACTGGTGTTAGGAGAGAGGATTTCCATTAACTGGGAGACTTGCTATGATGGTGTTGATGCCACTAGTGGTCCAGCAATGGGTAAGAGCTGATAGGATGAACCTGTTTTGTTCTGTGCTCCCTGTCAGCCCCTCATTCACCATCACCACACAGAGCTTACAGAACAGTACACAGATCTTTAATCTCACAGCGCTGTGGGGTTTCGTGCTCCTCCTCCTGCTGCACCACTGCTCCTTCCTCACCAGGAGCTGACACAGGATGGCTCCCAGTCCTTTTTCTTGCAGTCCAGACAGTCTCTGGGCCACCTGGGGAAGGAGAATGAAGAATATCAAGCCGGTAAGTCTCCTAACCATTCTGCTATGTGAGGAATGAATCCAAGAGCCTTTGCAGACGATTAATCTTTTCAATCCTAAGAAAGCAAATGATCTCCTCCCGCTCCCATAAATTCAACCTCTCTCTCCCGCTCCCCCTCTCCAGTGTTTGAACTGTTAGCCAAGAGCTTTATTAAAAACTACAAGATGCAGTTTTGTTTCTAACCGAATCCCAAACAACTGCGTTAGGTGGAGAAGAAACATTTGGTGCAGTCAGCTTTAGAGCATTTTTGTGTATAGTCCATAGCCACTTGTCAGCCAGAGACCAAAGTCAGCTTTGCACCAAGCTTAATAGGACCTTTTCTCTTCTCTCCTGAGGTTAGGAGATGAATTCAAGCTGGTCAGACCTTATGGTCTCGTTTCAAATAGTACCTGGCAGCGGTTGCTGGGAGTAACCCACGTGGCACAGTGGAAAGGATGCAGTCTGCATCGTGCTCTGATAACGCCCCATTCTTTCCTGACTCCAAAAGCAAGGCTGCTCCACAAAGCACAGCCAGCTCCAGGAACAAACTGTGCTGTGCAGCAGCGAGGTCCCAGCCGTCTTCCTGTTGATTCCTCTTTGTTGACTTCCAAGGGGGAGATTGCTGAAGATACCCCAAACCCCGCTGAAGCCTTCCTGGTGTCTGCAGGAGCTGTGAAGCAGAAGGTGGCCGTCCTGCTGGCGCTGTAGCCCAGGAGCTGCACCCAGAGGTGGCTCAGGGCAGTTTGGGGTCCCAGGGTGAGGTGCACTTCGAGCCGCCAGCTGCCGTGCGTCACCGCCATTCCTTGGCACCATGCACAGCGTGTCACAGCCTTCTCCATTTCATTTCTAAATGTTCCCTGGGTCTGAAATCCATCAACCAGTGCTGAGAAAAAACATACGAAGAGGAAGCCAAAGCAGAAGTAAGCAAAGCTGTTCTGTTGGCTGAATTCCCCCGGCTCGTTGTGTCCCGCTATTCGGATTGAGTCACAACAGGCACTTCTGCTTTGTGCACCTGAATGTGGGGAGAAGGCAGAGATGAGAACAGTGCTCTTCCTTGCTGTCACTGGCAGAGAGCACTGCATTCCTGTTTTGGGATCCGTCGCAGTGCAGGAGGGATTGGAATCCCGGAATAAATCCGATGATTTTTCTTCTTTTGGGTGCCTGAGAGATAACATGCCATTGTTGGTTTCCTTTCCTTATGTCCAACCGTCTTCCTCACCTCATGGAGACATTGAAATGACAAAGAAATTTAAGCAGAGATGAAAACAAATCAGAAATTTGGGGACCGGCCCATCAGGACTCGTTCAGGCCTCATTGATTTGCATGGTCTGAAGATAAAGATGGTCATTAGATCAACTGGTTCGACTGTCCCTCTGCCGTACCAAAACAGGCCCCGTTTGCTACATCTGGCTCTTCTGTGATGTTTCATGATTGAGGAACATTGAGATTTTTGGTAATTTGGGGGGTATTTAAAATTTGCTTCTGCATAGCGGTGATTCTCGGAGGTCCTGGGAGTGGGGACAGAAGGGTTTCATTGAGAAAAAGGAGTGCAGGTGTGAGGGGTGAAGGATGCATATGGCTGTGTGTCTGCAGGCGTGGCTCACAGTGAACAAGGGAAAGTCCAGGAATCTGCTGAGAAAGAGGAAAGTGGTTGAAAGAGGATTCCTGGGTTGTCCAGGCCAGGACACAAAACTCTCCTTCCTCAAGAGATCACCGTGGTGTTATGCAAAGGAAAGGGGATATCTCCTGCTGTGGCTTTGCTGGGAGAATTCTGCTTTATGGCACGATTTTGATACCTCTCCACCAAAACGCTGGGAAAAAGGGTCAAAGCAGGTTGTGCAAGTGGGAAAGAGGCGGATGAGGCTGTAGAGCAGGGAACACGCTCTTGAGGCTTGTACAAGGAGTGCTTTTAAACTTAATAAATCTATCCATGAGTCAAATGTCAGAAGCAGGGAAGGAGAGAAGGAAAGGATGGAAAAACTGTGCACCAAGGATGAGGAATCTGGAGCAGCTCGAAAACCACGGAACCTACAGGCTGCCCTGCCTGGAGCTAAAGGCTGGGAAACCATTGAAGATGGAGCAGTTGTGCTGAGGGGAATTCCCAACCTGCTGCCATGCACCCATTGTTCTGCATCAAGCTCAGCCTTGCAGAGCCCCCCAGCTCTGCTCCAGATGTGCACAGGGGGTCCTACCTCCCCCACTGCAGGTGTGGGGATCCAACAGCAAGCACAAAGCCCTGAGGTTCTCGAGGAATAATCCAGACCAGCTTTTGCTGGACACTGCTCCCCCAACTCTAAAAGGCTTTTTGGTCGAGTTTAATAAGATTAGGCTGTAAGCTCTGGAGATGTCAGCTCGCTGGCGGGTTTGCGTTCAGTAGTTTCTTGTGCGCCAGAGAATGTTATTGCTCATTTCATTGGCTTGCCTTGATTTCACTGGATCAGCCTGTTGCTTTGCTTCCCAATTAGCCGCATCTGCACAACAGTATTGGGCTGGAGAGCAGAAAGCCTGGTGAGGGGTGCAAAATATTTCTGCCACTTGGAAGGGAATTCCCTGCATCAACCCCTCCGGGAAGGTTCAGGCTCTGCACCCAACCTGACAGCTGTCACTGTCTGAAGCCCCATGGGGGTCCAGGCCCCTCTATCGCTGCAGTATGCAGCTGTGACATTGCACAGCTTGGTCTGTTTCTGGGGAGTGTGTGTTCTCCAAAGCTCCAGTTTAGGTCTGTGCTGACATTATTGAAGCTACTGGTAATAAAACATGTCAATACAGGGGTCAGGGCCACATCTGATCCTGTAAAAGGAAAACAAAACAAAAGGAACCAACCAAAAATGGAAAGCAAACATGTATTGACAAGCAGGCTGGCTCTCCAGGGACACGAGGTGGCAGCTCCCCAACCTGCTGCAGTCACTGCATGGACAGGTGGAGCAGAGGAGCATCCGTGTCCCGATGCCACATCATCATGCAAGTGCAGAATGCTCCCAGCACAGCAAACTACAAATAAATGCTGTTGATGCCTTTGCCATCCCGTCAGGGATTAGTACATGCTGGAGCAATTTGCATGGGGATGAAACTTGGAAGAGAGGGCAATGCTGAGGGAATACGGTATTATTTATTATTGCCA